ACGTTTGAGAAGCTGCTGCTCTATTGTAGGGTAGTGTGCTGAGCACTGGGGCTAAAATAATGAGCATGTCCCCTCAGCCCTAGAATTTGAAACCTCACCCAGCTTCTTGGGTCCATCTCAGGGGCGACCAGGCGTGGAGACTGCCCTGAAGCCCAGCAGGCCGCGGATGGTGTATCCATCCAGCTCACACCGTGACCTCGGCCAGAGCGTCCTCACAGGCCAGCCTGTCTCTCTAGTGTTCTTTTGTGTCACTCACAGCCCATCTGAGACACTAAGTAAACACTTACTGTATTAGCGAATGAACTACCTGTCCCAAAGTGCCAGATCACAGCCTAGCCCACCCTCAAAGGCTTCCTTTCTGGGACACGATTCTCCCATAGTTTTGGTTGCCCACCCTTCTAGCCCCTGCAAATCAGAAGTGAGTGACTGGGAGTGGCAAGGATTTCCATTGAACACGTTGTCTGTAATGCAGGGCCAGACACAAGTCAAAGCGACGTGACCCTGGTAACAGCATTTTCATTAAATGAGAGTTTTGTGCTCTTTGTTGAAGGTAGTGGAGAACGGTATAATAATAAGATGCTTAAGCGGGGGCAAGCATTGGTTATCTGTAAAAATCTTGTGTGGCTCTGTAGGTGACCGCCTAGCGGTCCCCACTGGCAAGAAGAGATTCAGCAAACCCCCTATTAGCTCTATAGTACGTTTATGTACATGTTAGTGCCGGGGTACTTGGGATTTGGATCATCTCATCTCTGAAAAGCTGCAGTCACCAGCTTTACTGAGATGCTTTCAATGATCCTCAAAGAAGCCCAGGACGTAATTAAATAAGAGATTTGAGGAAAACGACCGAAACAAAACACATGGAAAGTAGACATCCCAGTCCAGCCCAGAGTTTGTGTAATGGAGCTTTAAAGTTTGGTGGGAGTTATTTCTAACTTGACTATTTCATTCTCTCGCCTCTTAAAGTATTAAGTCTTTAGGAGAAAGCTTTTCAATGAAAGTTTTGTAAAACAGCTTGCTTCTGGAATACCGTACAGTTGGTTTCATAAGAAAGTCATGGCACGAATTTTTATAAACAATTTCACATTCACAGTGCTGAGTTGTTATTGTTTGATTGTTTAAACTGCGTTCGATTTCTCGAAAGCTATTAGAAAAAGAATGCGATAGGAAGGCCTGTCCAGTCTACTTTTCAGAAGAAAGCTGGTTTTCACAATATTATTCACGTTTGTAAACAGATTCAATGAACCTGCACATAAAAGGTTAAATGTTTGCAGGCCATTCTTTTTTGCCTCAAAGATCAGAGACAAATTACTATTTTTATTTTACATTCCCTTGATGAGGATAATGATAAACAGCTGTCACTTCAGTGCTTAGACTGCAAAGAATCCTATTGCAATCCTATAATTTAAACAGAAAAAATACATAGTCATACACCGTATACATACAGAAAAGGGCACGAAAGAGAATCTGGTTAGAACTGGGGTTAGAGAAAAGGGGAGCGGTTTCTCTCTGCAATTACTCAGTTCAAAGAAAAATTCCATCTATGTACATTTCTTCTCATTCATTTTAGACATATTATTGTAGAAGCAGCAATTACTCCTCCTTTCTTTCTCAAATCAGAAAATAAATTAAATTTGCATTCTGAATCCTGTGACTCCCCGTCGTGTCCATAGCATTATCAGAACGGTTAAGATTTGCGTGTGACTGTGTGTCTACTGGTATTTCCAAAAGCTAAAGAGGATTTCAAATGGTTTCACCGGTTATTCTGGAGCGCTTGTTTTTTTTTTTTAAGTGTTGAGAATTAAACTGTTCAATGTTCTGCATTCACTCTGACACTTAATTGCGTCTGATTTCAAACAGTGAACATGAGGGTCTTTTGCATATTTTGGCTAAATGTTAAGAGCAGTGTGAAATGCAGCAATTCAGTGTGCCTATATGAAAATGTGGGCGGTGCTATAATTTCCCTGGTGTTTCATATTCCTGGGGGTTCTTTTAATCAATCCTATTTATTCTGCTTTTCTCTTTTGGCTCAATCATTTATTTTTTACAAATGTCAGTCTTCAATGACACCTTCTTCCTAGAAACTCATTTTGCATTTATTAATTGATCTGTAAAACTGACTTGATATATTATGGGTGTTTCACTGTTCCATAATACTTCTTGATTTTTTGACATGTAAGGAAAACTAGGAATTGGTTTACCATCATATTCCTCCCACGTGCATTGAGTACGTCTGCTCTCAGAGCCTCAGCCTGCCCTTCTGTGGGCTGACAAAGTGGTACCCAGCTCCTGGGGCTGTGTGGTGGGGTCTTCTGTGTGAAGCACGGTCCTTCAAACAAAATAAATGTTCCAGGGAAAGGTAGTGTGTTGATGCTGAAATGCCGGCCCCTCCTGTAAAATACAACAGAAAGTCCCAGTATCTTTCCTGTCAGAGAAACAAACTGAATTGTATTGGGTCCATTATGGAGGTTTATATGGCTTTATATAAAAGATGTTTTCCTCTGAAAGCTGCAGGCTATCTGTTCTCATTTCTACACATGATTTCATGACCATTTTATTATCTTCACTGTTATCAAGTAGTAGGGGATCCTAACTCATCAACTTAGGGTTCCTGTGGCCCCCAGTTTCTCTAACCGTTAGGCACTCTTGGAGTGCCTAGGCACTGGGCTTCTTTGATTTAGGTAAATCCCTTCATGGTATTAACTCCTCCTCCTCCTGTGCATCAAGTCCTGTGCTGGGTGCTGAGAAGGGGGAGATAAGCACGAGCCCAGAGTCTAACAAACGTACAACTAGGCTGGATATGAAAGAATAAAGGTGAGTAGAGGAACAAATGAAGTATGGGGGGCAGTGGAGGAAGGTGTCAGGGCCCTCGGGAACTTGTCTCGAAGAGGTGGCAATGGGGCCAGGCTTTGAAGATGAGAAGCCTTCACGGATGGGAGGAGGGGACCCCAAGGGACTAGCTTGCAGAAAACATGGTATAAAAAATGCACAGTTTGCCATCTTTATATTGCCTGAATTAAAAATGTTTTATATTCAGATTTTTTTCATCTTAAATTTCCATAATGTCCGTTGAGAGTCACGCAGCTGTCTCTTATTCCATGAATATTCCTCAAGGAAAGAGAAACTAACATTTATTGGGCACCCATGAGGTCCTTGGCGAGGTCATGTCATAAGCATTCTCATTTTAGCTTCCAAAAGTATTCCAGGGTAGTGCATCTTCATTTTAAAAACAGGGAAGCTGAATCTCAGGCATGTTAAGTAACTGAAGTGTGACCATACAACCAGGATATGATAGAGCCTTAATCTACAGTTTTCACTTTCAAATACCCTTGAAACAACATCGCAGTTACCACTGGTTCTTAGAATTTAGGCTCATCTTGGAGCACATTTGCAGTGTTTTGTTTTGTTTTGTTTTGTTTTTGCCCTGGGAAGAGTTTGGGAAAATGAGTGGTTTTTTTCACTGCTGACCTTTCTTCCATCACTTTACCACTTTATGGCCTTAGCTTTTGACCTATTTGTCCCAGATCCTATTGTGCTTATATCACAAATTAATAAAGAACTCCATAAGATGTAACTTAATTCTTTCTTTCAGTGACCAAAGGCCATTTCAAAAGAAATGGTATGGGACAAATGACTGCCATTTTTGAAACTTCCAAACCTCTACCTTGCTGTCGTAGCAGTAAGATGCCTCAGGAATGTCCTTGAAGTGTCACCCTGAAGCACAGGGTCATACCCTCAGGATTGGAAAATGACTGTTTTGTTTTAGAATGAGCACATACTATTCTAACATTTTTTTCAAAGTGGTAGATATTTCTGAGCAAGAGAAGCCTATATAAATGGTTAGAGCCAATCTCTGTCTTTGTTATTGTTGATCTGTGGCCTTCACATATGCTTTCCCATCTGCATATTGATTCAAAGGAAAGCTTATCATTTATAAATCCATTTAAGCTCTTTAGCACAGTGCTTTTCCTAGAACTGATTGGATGATTGAAAGCCTGGGAGATCAAAGTATGTACATTTCTGAAGAAAAGTATTTCATGTCCGCATTGGAAGCAATAAATTATCCCCCCCCCTTTTTTTTTTTTTGCATTCGTAATTAAATCTTTCCAAATGCTAGAAAGTAGCCAGACCACTAGCAATATTTGTATCGTGTTCTGGGGTTTAGATGGTTCAACCTGACTTGAAATGGAGACCATTTGTTCTAAATTGATTTCAATGCCAAGCCAATAGGTCAGCCTTTAATGATGAAGATGCCATTCCAGCCCAGCCTCTGGTGGATAAGCCAAAATTAATTAACTCAAGTCCCATAGTATAGAAAACAGATGCTTCTCTCCTGGTGCACAAACAAATACTTTGAGCATAGACGTGTTTTGTTTTATTCAGATAATAACAAGTTGGAAGTTAACGCTGTAAGTTTTTCACAATGGAGGCTGTTTTGGCAGTGATGACAGAAGCATGAATTTACATAACAGATTCCAGCAAGTGCATGGAAAAATGAATTATCCTCTGCATCTCTTAGTTTGGCTTCAGGCCGGGCCTAGGAGATTTTGTTTTAAATCTGGGCTGATCTGAATGCCGATCCATTTCAGAGCAGACCTGGGGGTCCAGAACCACTCCAAGGTCATTTCTAATCTACGGAGTCCCTGGGGACCCTTCCCAGAGGTTTACATCTGCACATATGTTTGGCCAGCTTGCAAATGGCTTAAGACTAAGTTGTCCTCTAGAGGGATGTTCTTCGGTGCATTGTTTTTCTGGTTATTCATCTCAGCATTCATTCAGAATTAGGATACTGGCTTTTTCTAGATTGTGGCAGGGTACAAGTAGAAGCATAACTGTGTGGCTTTGATCTCTTTCCAGAATTAATGGGTGCACAATAAGGATGTTACCATCTAATAGTGTAGTTCCAAATACAGTAAACGGAAGTTGATCATCTGATAACGTCTGCTGTTTTTATCCTTCCGAACGGATGTGACATAATCCATGTTTTCTTTCCTCTCTGTTAGACTGAAAATGACGAGAATGGCCAAGCAGAAAACTTTTCCATGGACCCCCAGCTGGAGAGGCAGGTGGAGACCATTCGCAACCTCGTAGACTCCTACATGTCAATCATCAACAAATGTATCCGAGACCTAATTCCGAAAACGATAATGCACCTGATGATCAATAATGTAAGTGATTATGAACCCTCTCACTTTGACTTTGAACCCTTCCTAGAGTGGAGATTGGTCACATTCTCTTTAGTTTCCTTGTGACATTTTTCTGGATGGTTGAAATACCTATGATGCAGGTGTATCATGTTCAATCACAAGTGTTAAGTGGCTGAAAGCATGGAATTCTCACTGCGGTGCTGTGGCATTTTCTACTGGCTGTGTCACCTAGAAGGCTATGGATTTGCTGATAATAAAGCGGAGGCTAGCTATGGTCAGGGTATCAATTGATTGCAAAGCCAGCAATAAAACCAGATGCCATGCCTCCTAGACTTTGAAATTAAAAGCTTGCAATACTATTCTGCCATAAGAAAACACGAAATAGCGCCATTTGCGACAATATGGATGAATCCTGAGATTATAATGCTAAGCGAAATAAGTCAAACAGGAAAAATAGAGAACCATATGATTTCACTGATATGTAGTATATAAAACTGAAAACAACAAAAGAACAAGACAAACAAATGAAGAAACAAAACTTATAGACACAGACGATAGTTTAGTGGTTACCAGAGGGTAAGCGGGGAGGAGGGCGGTAGATGAGGGTAAAGGGGATCAAGTATATGGTGATGGAAGGAGAACTGACTCTGGGTGGTGAGCACACAATGTGATATACAGATGATGTGTTACAGAATTGTACACATGAAATCTATGTAACTTTGCTAACAATTGTCACCCTAATAAACTTTAATTTAAAAAAAAAAGAAATTAAAAGCAAAAGAGTTATTCTTTCCTACACACACACACACACACACACACACACACACACACACACACACTATTATTAATCTGATCATTTTCACCTTCAAAAAACTATGGAATGGTATTTTAACCTGGGAAAAGGCTTTGTGTGCTGTCCCCTTGGATACAAAAATCAGTCAACTTGACTTTTCTAAGGTAAGGATGGTACAGCCCCCAAAGGTTACTGCTAGATCAGCCATCAGTTGATCTATATCATACAGAATGTCTCCCTTTTCATGTTTATCTTTATAGTGATCAGGATATGCTGCTTAAATGACATGGTCCAGCCTGGTTCTTTTAGGAGCCACTATGTAAAAGTATGAATGATATCACAAGTTATTTCAGAAATTATCTTGTAAATAAGATAGGCAATCCTGGGGTGTGGCAGAGTAGCAGGCATTCCTGACTCTTGAAAAGTGAGGCACCAACTATTTTATTCATACTTATCTTCTAAGGACACCTTTTTATTTAAACCAATGATATATCATTAGCATTTGCTTGTAGCAAGTAAAAATTAGATGGCAAAGCCCTGAAAAGGACCCCACCCCAGAATTCAGTTGAAACCTGGATTCCAACCCTTGTTCTGCTACAAGCTCGGCTGACCTAAAACACATCACTTAATCTCGTTGCATTGATTTTCCTCCTCATGTAAAATTCTAGTCATAAGAAAGTACTTGGCTAAGGGATTTTTTATAGAAGATAGTATACTCGTCCGTGGAAGTACTATGAAGAGCATAATTGTAAGAAACTAATATTGCTGCCTATATAAGAACTATGGGCTTTATCCACATTTCAAGATTCCTTTCAAATATTGTGTTTCTAAACATGACGACCCATTTATTGTTCACCATCTATGCACCCCTTGACTGTAAGGAGCCCCAAGCACTCACGTGAACAATCTTGTTTTTAACGAACTCTATCTTCATACACATTTTGTGTGTTCAAGCAAGGGTCATCGGATGCTTTGAAGTATTATCAGCAGGTAAGCCATATATTAGAAATTTGAAAACTACGAGCCGTATTCTTATACTTGGCCAGTGGCCTGCTGTGTGACCTGAAGCAAATCATTTGGTCCCTTTGGGTCGAAGTCACTTCCAAAACCACAGTGAGAGCCCTGAGTTGCCTCACAGAATTGTCAGGGAACATAATGAATGTGCCTATATGCCATTTTGAAAAATCATCGAGCACTAAACAAATAGTCTGTGTATTTTTAAAATTACCCTCTTAACTTCACTTAAACGAGTTCAGGTTGTTTTTGCCGCGGCATATCCAGGCCCTTGCTTATTTAAACATTTTCCTGATTAAGCATCATTTATCTTTTCAGTGTTTTACCCAGAGTCATTAGTGCTGCCATCAGTTCAAACGCTGCTTTGCTCTGCACTATATTAAATCATCAGCACAGGAAATAGCGCTTCCTGTCTATAGCTGTGAGGAGTAGCTTGGCACAAATTAGTTAAAAGGGGAAAAAAATACCCTGTTGCAAGCCTATTCCACTTTCACCTTCTCAAGAAACACACACACACACACACACACACACACACACACACACACAGAAACGTGGGGTGGACTGCCCTCCCTGCTTGCTGCTGTACTCGTTTCTTTGATGAAATGGCTAAACCCCCACCTACAGGGCATTGGCCATGGAAGTAAAGCTCAGCTGGTCGTCCTGAGAGGGGCCTCACATGAGAATCCTGAGGAAGGTGATTTTTAACGAAGACTTCACCTAAGAAGACTTCAAGGTCCAGCCTTGAATCAGAGACTCATGGGAATACAGAGGAAGCAAAAACATCATGTCATGCTGGATGCTTACGAAATTATGGCTACCTTTATTTGAAGGTCAACTTTTCGTATCTACCAGAAAATAGTGTTCCATATCGAGGGTGACCTCTTCTCTTTGAGCTTATTTTATCTGCTTTGTTACTATATATGTAACAAATATGTAAATATATACAATACATTTTTTAAATGATATATATAATTATATATGTAAAAGTGGTAGTCCCTTTCTTTAAATGGACCCACGCTCTCGTGGCATCCCGTTGTACAGACTGTCTGAGCCCTTTGTGTTCACCCCAGAAGCACCCCCCTGCTGAGGAGAAGGAACAGAAACATGGTGAACACCCAGCACCACGTTGTGCCTGTGTGTTGATTGTTTTATTCAGTTTAAAGGGAAGAGAGCTTGAAGCGAGAGCAAGAATCAGAGAATCCCAACTAGAAAACGAATACTTTGATGCCTCATTTTAAATCCCATCCACCCAGACCGGCTGCTTCTCTACTGGCTGTGGGCGGAACGGCCAGTTGTCCAGCCGAACCAGCCACTGCCGACCACGGGGTCCTCTCTGTGTGGACTCCCCCTGTCGCGAGCGGAGCTGTGGTGGCCTTTCCTCTTTGAAACGGGAATGGCCACTCTGCCTTCTGGAAAACAGCCTGTTTCAGCCAGCTTTCAGAAGGTTCAGCGTTTGGTGGGCAGTTTCCTTTGAAAGTTTACATTAAGTGTTCTGCCACTCAAGCCTCCATATGGAATTGTTTAAGGAGTTTAAAGCCAGCCATAAAAGCCTTGCCTCAGACATACTGTAAGCCTTTGTCTATTGAAACGCAGCAGCTGTTTCATGGCTTCAACATACCAGGTAACGGCGACACAAAGAAATAGCAAGTTTATGACGGGCAGTCGTCCTGCACGGGCTGAAGTCAACGCCGCCGAGTTCTGTTCAGTTCTTTCAAGTTCACACACACACAACACCCCACAGCAGGCACATTTTCATGGTCTTTTCTCTATAGTCTCCCCCGCCCCCAAAGAAGCTCTCCATCAGAGAATCAAGAAAGTACATCCAGCTTTAGTTCTAAAAGTGTGAGTGGCAAAGGGTCATGTTAATTCTGTGTCTGGACCCACAGGCTCCATTGGGCGCTCACTATTTTGACCAGATCATAAATGATGAAATGGAGCTTCTGAGCAGTGAAGTGGCTCACTCAAGATCAATAGCCGTGGATGGCAGAGTCAAAATTAAAATCCAGGTCTCCCCTTGGAGTCGGATATTCTGTCCATTTCAACATCAGATAACACATATGATATGGTTAGGGAAACTATAGGTCCACCTTTTCAAACTAGGGGTTCCTATCCCCACTGCATATACATGGGGTGTCTTCCTAGAGGTCCCATATGAGGCAAAGATTTTATTAGGGTTTGTTTCCATATGAGTAACAACGTTTTGAATATAAGTAATGCAAAAGATTGTTCCTCTGATTCAAACAAACCCAGATAATACAAAATAGAATATAAAGTTCTTATGAAACTGTTTGGGAACCAAATGTGAACGCTAGAGGCATGTCACACTTGGAGTGTGTGCCATCGCCTGCGCCCCTGGACCCCTAGAAGTCCAGTCACTCTCCTGGGCCATTGGCACATCGGTGGAAAATTGGTAACATGTGCCCTCGTTTCAAAACCTATTGTTAACTTTAATGTGCGTGCAGTAGAGTGTTGTTTTAAATGTTCATTATTTGGGAGGAAAGTACATCTTAAATACCAGAGCCCTGATTTGTTTCCCCGGGTCAGGAATTCAGTGTCCTGCTCCAGAGACAGGTCACAACCAGGACCCAGAAGCCCCCCAGTCTGGCTCCCCTACCCCAGCCACTCCCCACCAAGGGTAACAGTCCTGATTTCTTATACCGTCCATTAATTCTGCCTGTTCTTGAACTTTGGAATCACGCTGTTTGCACTGTGTGTGTGTGTGTGTGTGTGTGTGTGTGTGTGTGTAATGTCCTATGTTTGTCGGTCAAAGCATGTGACTTCTTAAAGAAGGAAAAAGCCTCATTGGTCTTTAGCCGCACTAAACCCCTGGGAGATGGAAAACAGACTCGAACAGAAATGAGGGAACAATGAGATCTCAAAGAATCCCGGAATTCTGACCAAGCTCCTCTCTAAAACTAAGCAAATTTGAACTTTGCAGCCAGCTAAGTTTCCACACAAGTGCTTGTATGAATGAGAGCTGCCACTGTGTACCACCCAGCGGCTCTCCTGTCTAGAAACGGGATTTTAAGGACGTGGTGCTCTTAGTAACTGAATGGCACGTTAACTCTAGAAGCGTCTCTGCTATTTGTGAAGGCTTCAGAATGGCTGCAGCGATGAAGACAAAGCAGGGTTAAGATCCAGAAAAATATGGCAGGTTGGCTAGAAAGGGTTAAAGCAGGAGAGAAGAAACATGTGGAACATTTTTAATGGCCTCGCATTCCTTTACACTGAGCAGATTGGCGTGGTGCAGGAATGCCTGTTTATCCAGCCCAGAGAGTTTGAACTGGAGTGAGGTTTTGTGCGCGAGAATTTTTTTTTTTTTTGCGAACCATATAATGATGTATAGGATATAAGGTGTTATAATTAAATATTACTTCACATCTCACATCTACGTATAATTCGTGTATGTTCTGTGGGATGTCTTCTCCATGCTGTCGCTTGGCCTGTAATTGTTGTGCAGAATCCTTGATTTAAATATTTGTCCCACTGACATACACACGGCTCAGAAAGTCCCCAGAGTGTCCGGAAACTCCCCAAAGGTTGTCCCCTCTCCACCCCCCACTTTGATTCCAGCTGTGGCATCCCTAGGATAGCTGGAGGAGAAGAGCTCCTGAAATTTTGCTGAAGTGCAGAGTAAAAGGTCAACTTGTGCAGTTTGCGGAATGATGTCACTCATTCCCTGCACTATTGCAGTAGCTTTCTATTTGTTCTTCTGCCTCTGCAATACGTTCCCAATGCCATTTTAGCCCTGTCCACTGTAAGAAGAGCTTTTGTTCATGGAGCAGTAACTTCATGCGAGGCATCGTTCTAGGCAATGTATCATCGTTCTTCCACTTAATCCTCGTCACAGCTCTTGAGGTAGCTACTCCCGTTATCCTTATTTTGCAGATAGAGAACCTGAGACTCCAAGAGGTTAAGCTGTTTGCCCAAGAACAGTAATTGTTAGAGCTAGAACTCAAAATGTAGGGCCATCTGTGCTCCTCACCACTGTGCTGGGTAGCCCTTTTCCCTCGTGCTCACACTACTTAGGTTATTCCAGACCCTGGGCACATCTTTTGGAGAGTCGGCAACTTCTTGGTGGGTGACATTTTGATGTGGAAGAGTTGATTCAATGCAGATCTTTGATCAGAATGCTGAAAACAGGCCCTTATTATTATATTTTATTTCGTGGTTTGTTTGACAGTTGCTTCTTAATTCAGGTCTGCTTTAAATCTATTCTTGGAAGGGTCTTCTTTTAACTTGTGTTTAATAGATTCTAAGAGATACTCTGGTACGATGTAAAGCTTCAAAAGAGCTTAACCCAGTGGATAGCCAATGCCAGGAAAATTGTCTGGCATTGAATTTGGACTTGTACCATCCCTCCAAGCGCATACACACACCCACCAGTGGAAGATTTGTGCATATGTCCACGTCTCCTTGGGCACCTGTAAGTGTGTTTAGAAGTGAATAAATCTTCAGTCTTGATTCTTTAAGCCCAATTTACTGTCTTTCCTTTAAGAATGACTTTCCCTCCTTAACTTTCGATTCTCCCACTTTCTGTTCTCCCACACACCCAAACCTCAATGCCTGAAGCATCCTTGTTCCTTTCCTCCTCGCCCTTCACATCTAAACAGCACCAAGTCCAGCTGGTTTTTTCTTTACACTGTCATTTATATGAGCCCCTCTTTTCTATTCCACTGCAACCTTGCTAAATTAAACTCTTATCCTCTCATAAATGATCTCCAGTAGTCTTCGAACAGATTTCTTTATCTTCATATGCAAAGTCTTTCCAATCGCAGCCTAAAACTCTTTTTTATTGTTTCACTTACTTGCTTAAAAGCTTTCTGTGGCTACCCAGTGCCAAGTGGATAAAGTTCAAACACTTTTCCTTGGCATTTGAGGCCCTCACATCTGGCCCCAGGTTACCTGGCCAAATTTACCTTCCACGACTATCACACATAAACCTTCTATTCTACCAGACAGTTGTCTGAACACATCTTGTATATTAGATTACTTCCACATTTGAATCACTCTTGGTTTACAAAATATGGACAGAGAACTTTTTTTTTTTTTTACTTCACAGTGATTTAACTGAATTTTCTGATGAGTAGAATGATTCACATGGTTAAATACCTTTAAAAAATAATGAAGCTATGTGTTTTAGACTCTTGTCATCTCTGAGTTATAAATTCAACTGCAACCCAGGAATTTTGAGCACCTGGCAGGTGTTCTGTAGTCTGCCTAAATTTGTGACAATTAAATATACTGGCTTTTGGCCTTTCTTTGAGATATCCAATGTCTCTAGATAAGTGTTAACTTTCTCATTGAACAGAGAAACTGAAAAATCCAAGTTGGCTTATTTTTCTAGGCTTATGTTAATTAGTGTACTTGCTACAGCACTCCAAAATAATGATGCTTAAACGTAAATTGTCTTTTCTAAGCACCCAATCAAAGCAGGGTAAGACCACTAGACGTCAAGTCAGAAGATTTGAATTCAACTTAATGTTGTGTGACTTCGGGCAAGTTACGTAAACTCTCTGAACTTCAGTTTCTTCATCTGTAAAATTGGAGTGATAATACATGTTTCCTAAGTATGTGGTGAGAATTAAATTAGATAACTTTTGGAACACACCCTGTTTCATTGATTCTCACATCCACTTTTTTCACATTTAATATTTCTGGCATGAAGATGTGTGTTCCACTGAATGGCATCTTGACATTCAGTCATAGTTTCCGTTGGTGGTGTGTTTTTCTTTCTTAGGGGCACATGAAATAGTGGTGTGTCTTAAAATCAGTGGTGTCTTAGATTTGATGAACTCTGCTGGTTGGTTCTCTCTCCACGGTGCTCTGCCTCATAGGTATTATTCATACTTTAGTTTGTTTTTCCATATCCGCTAACCATGGAACCTCATGTCAGGCCTTGTCACTGTTAAGTAGCTTCTCCGACAAATTCCAGAAAGCACAGAGTGTATCACTTTTTTTTGGAAATCAACTTGCATGATTATATAAGGTTGTGTACTGAATGAATATTCACTCATTGTTGCTAATTCCACTTCTGAGATGATGTTGAAATCTGAGGTATTCTAGCAGTGCAGTGGTTTTGGTGAAAGCTAGGTAGAGAACTGGATAACTTGTGCTATTATGTAGGTTTCTTTACATCAGTGTTTCTGATTGAAAATACTGCTGCTTACCTCCTGGTACCTCCCTCGCCCCTAAGCCAAGCAGCGTCAGACAACATTGGGGAGATGCTTACACAGCCGACAGGCCCAGCTCTGATGATGGCAGGGATTGGCCCTCTTTTCAAATGGGGGGGGGGGACTCACCAGCACAGTTCTGAAGGTTGGCAGGAGAATGAAAAAAATAAGAGCAAACAGACATATGAAGCGGCCCTTTGTGCAGAGTGGACCTTAATGGACTGTCCGCAGGCTCTGAACCAGTTTATACCATTTGATAACTCATTCGTTCCTGTTTTACTTTCCTGTGGTGACCTGACAGGTGAAAGATTTCATAAACTCAGAGCTCCTGGCACAGCTCTATTCATCAGAGGACCAAAACACTCTCATGGAGGAATCTGCTGAGCAGGCCCAGCGGCGGGACGAGATGCTGCGAATGTACCAAGCCATTAAAGAAGCCCTGGTGATCATTGGTGACATCAGCACATCCACGACGTTCACCCCTGCACCGCCTCCCGTGGATGACTCCTGGATACAGCACTCTCGCAGGTAGGGAGATGCCCCATGTCACCTGGGGCCAGCCAGGTTGGTCCAGCATCGTCATCTGGGCGTGCTTCCCTAAACCAATGGGAACCTAGAGAAGAAAGAGGGAAAAAGATATTGAAGTTCCGAAGTCAGAGATGGGGTCAGATAACCGCAAGTTCCGTAAAAAACAAGCACAACGCATCCTTACTGGGGAATGTTACACAGCCGTCAAAAAGAGTTCTATAAGTACCGAAATGAAAAGATAGTCCAGTACATGTAAAGCTTTAAAAAATGTAAGTTATGGAACATTGTGGGCTAGTATGTACAAAAAAGGAGTTTATATGTACAGAGAAACTACGGTAGAATACCCTTAAAAAGGATTCACAAGAAAGTACCACTGGTCTTCTCCGCTGCGTGTAGGAGTGGGGAGGGAAACGTCCCACCATGAACGCTTTTATACACTTTAACGTGCCTAAGACATATCTGAGCGTCTCAGTGAAAAAATAATCATTTTTAAAAAGCAGTCGGGAGGTTACAAAGCATTTTTGAAAGTTGATCAGATGGAAAGTAGGAGTGGGCAAACTGCTGTTGGTCTCTTTCTTCAGGTCACCCCCTCCGAGCCCCACCACCCAAAGGAGGCCCACGCTGAGCGCCCCGCCAGCACGGCCCTCATCCGGCCGAGGGCCCGCTCCGGCCATTCCCTCTCCCGGACCCCACTCGGGGGCGCCCCCAGTTCCATTCCGGCCCGGCCCGTTGCCTCCTTTCCCTAACAGCAACGACGTGTTTGGAGCCCCTCCGCAAATCCCGTCTCGGCCCACGAGGGCCCCTCCCAGTGTCCCCAGGTAAGTCTTCTGCATGGAAGAAATTGATGGGGGCAGGGGGGCTGCTCTTTGGTTCTCTTCTCATAGCATAACAGACAAAATTTACTTGAAAAAGAAAATTGCAAAGCTATTATCATACACATTTGCAATTTTCAGCCAGAGGGGAATCCTTGGGAAACTGCTGAGCCTGTCACACCATTTAAAAGCCAAGATGTGGTCTAAACCTCTCCTTTATCAACTGGCCCTAAGCAAATGGGACTAAAGGAAACTAGGTCTCAATGAATGACACTTTGGCAGCTGTTTGTAGAATTTGATGGAGGAGCTTTGAAATGAAAGAGCCGGGGCTGGGTGGTTGCAAGCTGTGAGTTCCACAGGTCATGAGAATGTCACCAGCCAAGGCCTCACCTTCTTTGTTACCAAAGGAATTCCAAAAAACCACTGACTTCAAGGAATATTATCCATCTACCCTCTGCACTATGACCCTGAAACCCAGTATTATTAACTTGAACGTAGGCTGAGTAAAAGTCTGGCTGATTAGTCTGCCATTGTTTTTTATAAAACTATACATAGAAATTTTAATACAGACATGGTAATAGCTGTGTGCAGTCACTAACCACCTATGAGATAGAACACTGTACTTTTGAATAATACATTTTGACATTGGTGAGCAGATTTTCAGGCTTCGTTGTGAGATGAAATAGCTGATAAATAAGTGGAACTTGATAGAGTTGAAGCTATAGTCTCACCTTCATACATTTATAATCAAAATATGTACAATGTGTATAATTAGAGATTTTGAAAATGGAAGGAATCAGGGTTTGTTTTTTTAAAACCAATAACAAATTTTAAAAGGAAAGAAAAGTAGCCCATCTAGAACATTAATGTTTAAAAATTCAAGTCAGAGGATTAAAATATGTGTGTGTTCCATGAAGCAAAACCTTGCTGTGCATGGACCATAAAAACGGAAGTGAGCTCCACCCGCCCGGAAAGCCTGAGCCACCGCACCCTCTGATTGCGGTGCTTCCATTTATTGCGATCTTCAGGGTGTTGGGTGCAATGAAGCAAAGGGGCCTCTTAAGCTGGTACACAGAGGGTGGTGTGGCAGGAATAGCAGGGGGTGTTGGATCAGAGGACCTGGTTTGCCTCAGGCCACGGGCAACTCATTCAGCGCTGAGCCAGGAGCTCCTCGTGTATGAAACAGAGATGAATCTAGCAAACTTGTTGCCCAGACCATCCGAGATGAGGTCTTTGAAAGAGTCTGACACACTGTAAAGCACTGTGGTCATCACCATTGTCATCATCTTGGTTCTAATCAGAGAGGATATATGTACTCTCAAACCTATGGATTTTTTCCTCTAAACTCAATAGGTTTGGCTTACAATTCATTTGGGACCGAGCTACGTTTCCGGTAATAATGGTAACAGCAGTCGCTACCATTTTGCCTGCTCTCAGTGTCTGCAGGCAGTGTCCTTGGAACATTGCAGGTGCATTTTGGTTTCCTGCTCACAACAACCCACTGAGATAGGTTAGGATCCATTTTGCAGACAGGCACAGGGGTTAAGCAGCGTGCCCAAAGCCGCTCAGCTAGACCCGGAGGAGCTGGGCCTTAACCTCAGACCGCCTGATGGAGGAGCCTGTCTCGCAGCCACACCGCCAGGGTGCCTCAGCCTCGACTCTGCTGACATTTTGGGGGCAGGGCACCATCCAGTGCGTTTTAGGATGTTTAGCGGCATCCTGGCCTCGTCTGTCACTTGCACTCTCCCAGTTGTGAGCACTAAACATGTCTCTAGACATCGTCAGTGCCAGGGGTGAAGAGGGGTGAACCCCCTCTGGAGAACCACTGCTCTGCAGCGTTCAAAAGCCTTTCCCTCGCATGTGAAACAACATATCCGTCGGTGCTGAGCCTCACTACAGGCAAGATTAAATGATTGTTTTAGGAAACCTCACATTGACTAGGAAAGTGCCTGTCTTTGTGCCAGGAAGGTATGGAGGCCCTTGGGGGTGGGAAACGGGGGTCCCATCCAGGAGCCTGGAAGCTGGCCATTTTGTCTGTTTAGCTACAAGAAGGAACCAGAGCAACCTGCTGCTGCCTGTCCCAGGAATGCACGTGCATGTCTCATGTCTGCCTGCGCTCTTGGCCGCATTAGCTCCTGGTTTCAGAGGCACTGGCTTGCCAGTACCCTTCTGAGATACTGCCGAATGCTGAACTGATGTGCTAAGCAGGGTGGGGTCGCCTTGGGTGTTTCCCAGCCCACACCAGGAAGGTCCCGGCAGGAATCGGTAGCCCACACCGGGAAGGGGAGGGCCAGGTTTCATGCGTCCGCACTGGGGGATTTATAGGACCACAGTTGTGTTAGTCAACATTTCTAGAATATTCTCGAGTTAGAGCCAGGCTTAACTTGATCTGGCCTTGCAAAGAGTCTCAAATGTAAAACAGAAATGGGAGTTCAGAGCAAAAGAGGAACGTTGGTTGTTTTGTGCTGAGCCTTCAAGTTTCAGGCCAGTTCAGCACATTGGGAGGGAAATCCCGGGGGGGAGGGGGGGAGGCGGGGGGCACCTGAGAGAGAGCAAGAAAGACTCTGTCAGGATCCTTATGCCTATTAAAGTTTAGCTTTAGATGGAGAATTCTGACCACATAAAGTCTGTTTTTAATAAAAGCCAGAGCAGGAATCCTACCAAATGCAAGCCAGAAATGGGGTTTAAGGTTTCAAAAAAAAAAGAAAGACAGACCAAGATGAAAGAAAGAAAGAGAGAGAGAGAGAGAGAGAGAGAGAGAGAGAGAGAGAGAGAGAGAGAGAGAGAGAGAAAGAAAGAAAGAAAGAGAAAGAAAGTTGAGGGAAGCTCTCGTTGAAATTTCACCTTGTTCTATTGATTCACATGCTCTCTTTTCCCTCTATG